TGACATTAAATGAACAACCACACAGACGGCAGTTATCTCTCACTGAAGGAGAAAGCGATTTTCTTTTATTGCCGGTTTTCTTTTTCTGAGTGAGTTCAGCGATCGCCGACATAACACGGGTTTTGTGGTGTCTCTACATTTCCCACGAAAACTTAGGGTTGATTTCCGGAATGTCATTTTTCAGCCAATGGTCCCCTTTGTCTGGGCGAAGTACAAATGAAAGTTTATAAGAGATCTCATTGGTTAATAAAAACTTCCGGTATCAATCAAGGGAACACGAGTTCATTATCGCGACACAGGCCCTATAATTTCAGCCGTATGGCATGACATGACACAATTTTTCCGTGCTTTAAAATAATGCACAAGTATAATTTTTGTATTTTATTTGAAAATAAGAAGCTGTGGCGACTCTGTGGCTCTCCATAATATACACAAAGCCTATTCTCTTGTTTCCTAATGGACCTTTTTCTGGCTCAATTCATCATTTCTAATTTTACAGCTTTCAGATCAGGGACCATGCAGTTGTTCGAAGGCCGATTAGCACTAATAGTAGTTTGTAACCAAAATCAATACTTTGTCAAAGTATTTAAGCGAATTAGCGCTAATCTTGCTTCGGACAACTCGGCCTACGACGGTCTCTAAATAAAACGTTTCAAATAGAAAACCATACTTTGCTTCTGTTGCCAATCGTTTTAGTCCTTTTAGGGCTCTGTTTTGCATGGTCCGTTCGTTAATCACTTTTTACTGGTTAATTAATGAATAGGATAGTTGATCTCATAACTGCATATAAGTGAAGTTCCGTAATATATTTCAGAGTCCCATTTCTTTCCGGCTAAAATCTCACTGCCGACGAAATGATTTCCCAGAATTCCCGGCATTACTCTGTAAGCGACTGATTGACCCGCTAAAAGGTGGCGCGCTCGATACCCCGACTTTTGTTGCAAATACTTAGTTATAGTTATTCTGAGGTATATGCATGTTTACGTGAGAGATACAGTTCAGGTAACAGAAGAACTTAAGCAGGTTCAATGACATACTGATTCTGAAGGTTACAACTCTGTGGATCCCAAAATTAGATTGCCTTCACCTTGCGACCACGCCTTGTAAGTGACAAACGCTCTGTTACTGACTTTCCGACAATACATGCACCATGCTATTTCAAATCGTGTCTAGGATGGAGATTAAATGCATGTGAGAAATGCAGCGTGCAAACACTTGAAATCATGTCTGTATGAATTGAAACATGCAGCCACTCCACCAGACAATTTATTCAGGTATTCATGAGGTAATTGTGTCAGTTTTCTCACTAGGTGGTTCAGTCGGTTTGTCCCCTAAGCCTATGGTATTTACGATTTTGGTTAGTTTTTTTTATTAGACGGTGAGCATGGTCTTTGAAACAGAATGAATCTGCCAAAACTCGATTTATATTAAAATCCCTTGCGTACTCAAAAATAATATTTCTCTTATGTATTGTTCCTTTCAGAACAAAATATGAGTGTTTTGGCCCCCAAAGTTAAAGGCGTGGCTGTTCGAAGTGGTAGATTTGTGGATCAGATAATCTTCAAATTCGATGATAACAGCCAAATATTTTGGGGTCACACTGGTTCTACAACAGTGTTCGGTAACACTCGAGGGAGTTTAAGTTATTGGGCTCTTGCCGAAGATGATTATATTGTCCAAGTCAATGTACGTCAAGGGGCATACGTGGATGCTATCCAGTTTGTGACAGCTAAAGGCAATGTTTCACCATTCTATGGAGGACGAGGTGGAAACTACAAGGAACTTCGTGCAGAAAGCAATTGCGAAGTACTTGGAGTTCTTCCCTGCAGAACTGGGCATGCAGATCCTCTGTATGGTTTATTTTCCCGTATTGTTGGCGGTACTATCCCACCAATGTATTTGTGCGCTGGCAATTTATACTAGCTGGACCGTGGATCCTCCCCATACAACGGCTACACGTATGGTGGACACAAAGAAGTGGAGATGAAGGTGGTCTTGTACCGGCGAGATCTGGAAAAGGCCTTAAAAAATCCCGACTTGGATCCAAAAGTGAAAGCTGCAATTTTAAAGGTGCTTGATTTTCCTGGTGCCCAATTTGTAGGAAAAATAGCCATTGGTCAAATAGTGAGTAGGGCTCTAGATGCTGGGTTCACAGGTGAAGCTTTGCCACTCGGTTTGATCAAGCAACTGAAGACCAATGGGTTTTGTGCCGGACTAAAAGGTTTTGCTGTTGAAAGTTTGCAGCAGAATTCTCAAGTGTTTGGTAGCATTGCAGGGGTGCTCTTAGCTCACATAGTAGCACCGATCTATGCAGCCCAAGGAAAGGGCGAAGAAGCTGCCAGTCTTGCTGGAGGAGCCATGATAGGTCTGGGTGCTGCTATTGCCGTGCCAGGAGGTGCTGCCATTGCTGTTGGTCTATTGGCGCCCATCGTCATCAAGAAAATCTTCGACATTGTTCCCAAGCCAGAAGAAATTAGAGCAAAGTATCGCCAGGATATGTGCAAGATGTATCAAACATATTCAGAACCGTTAAGTTCCGCATTGGCTGAGGTTGACAAGGTGAAGTGTCCCAATGGCCACTATCTAATTGATGACGGTCCGCCAACCCTTGCATATCTTAGCGAAGATAGAGGTCCGGTTTTCCGCAATGGATGCAGTGCATACACTAGCCCGCACTGCACCAGTAGGGATCGGCGATGGCAGTTCAAGACAGTACGTTTGTACTGCAGCCTATGTGGTGTGTGTTATTGTGAGCCTTGCATGCTCAAGCACATCACAGAAGGTGCTGTGTTCACCCCCTTTCAGTGATGCAGGTCACCTAAAAGTACGCTACAACTAAACATCATCAAAGTTCAAGAGGTGCACTTACAATTTACGTTAACACAGTTTAATGATGCTCAGTCTGGGATGCAGCTTAAATTTCAACCTCCAATGGATGATAGCTATCAAGACCTGCAAGTATACATATCTGAAACAGTGTATCGACATTAGAATACACATTTTAAACAATTTACAAAGTTAAACATTGAATAGTAAATTAGAATTTCATGTTCACTTTTGGAACATTACTGGCTGCATTTGTGTGATTTTTCATGAGCCAGAGTTTTTCCTGTTTGGTTTTCCGGTAGGCTCGATTTCCGCCGTCTCTCGGGTCCGGTCTTTGATGCTCCCCGAAGAGAGACCCGGTTGGTTGAATAGCGAACACATCTTGACCTTTAACTAGGTATTGCAGTGCCTCTCGCTGAGAATCTTTTAAATTTTGAAGTTTAAAGGACTCCAAAACTCGCTCGAAAGCCAAATTCATCTAATCGACATCGTCCGCCATTTTGACAAGTCTGTTTTGATGTGATAATTTATGCGACAATCCTTGCCAGACGAGAATTTGCAGGCGGTAACATGATTGGCGGAAACCAACAAAGGAAATCGCACGCGTCCAGCCGCTTCTTCGGGGGATGAGTGCGGGCTCATTTCCCTGAACAGTAGCTGGTAATCGAGCCTTGTTTTTCGGGTGATGGAATGATAAAGGAAGGTATTTTAGTGTGTTTATTTTTCATATGCAAAATGTAATTACTCCGTGTATAATAATATAGCTAAGGGTTTTCTCCGTTGCTACTTGCCGTCCACTAGCTGTGCTAATTCAAAGAAGTCCAAAATTTTTACTTTTTTTGTAAACCACTCAGTTTATGCAATTTGTTTTTCCATCGAAGTAAGGGACCGGTCATTATTTACGCCGGGGGGAGGGGGGAGGATTTTGGGCTAAACAAGGTGAAATTTAGCCGATCTCCCCTGTGGATGTTACTTCACTGAATGATCCCCCCTAATAAGTTTTGATGATTTTTACGATCCCCCCTCCCATGTCTTCATTTTCCAAGCAAATTTGAGTAGTCCCCTACTGAATCCTTCCAAAGTTTTTAGCGATCCCCATAGCTTTTGGGTTCTCGGTTACGACTGATCCCCCCTTTTTTTCTCCCAAAAATCAAGTGATCCCCCCCAGGCGATAAATAATGACCGGTCCTGCGGAGAAATTCCGTTTTAATATTTTTTTCCAGTAAAATATCTTATGTATGTGCATATCTACTCTTTTTTGCTGCTACCCGTAGTACATTCAAGGCTTTTCCAAATACTTATTTTCTCTGGCATTCTTTCGGCAACTGCAGCTGTTTCATCAAACAGAAATTCTATACTTACCATTTTGGATGTCAGTCGCGGTGTAACACATATTACTTTCAATATCTAGTGCAATAAATATGTCTTTGAATTTCGAATATTTGCTCGACTTTTTTGACTTTGATATATAGCTGACAGCTCTTTGAGAAAATTCCATCCAGCTAAATTGCTACCCTCAATCTTTATCTTTTATAGCATAATATTCTGCTCTGGGTATTGTTATTCATGACATGTAAATAAGGAATGGAGAATCGCTCTGGCTTGGGAGAAGCCCAAACCAGACGAAGAGTCTGAAGGATGCACTCCAAAAACCGGATTCCTAGCGGGATGGGAGGGTGGGTAGCTAGATCAGGAGCGTAGAGTGCAAGGGATGGGCCCAACGTGATCCTTTATATTCATATTTTACATGTCCCCAGGGCATATTATTAATTATTGTAATATTCTGCCCTGGGTGTTGTTATTCATGAAATGTAAATAAGGAATGGAGAATTGCTCTGGCTTTCCCCAAGCCGCGCGCTGACTTTTGCGACGGTCAGACCAAGCACGCACCCGTTGCGAAAACGCTGCTGTTCCCTCCGATAGAGAGGTTAGATTACAGCGAGTAGACAAAAACTTAACTACTATGCATGCCGCATTCAGTCTTTGTCAGGAAAAGTTATTAAGATCTAACTCCATCTGTTGGCCTCTTTCCCATCCTTATCGGAAGCATGACAAACAAATTATACTGACTTAGGGAGCTTACTTCAGGCCCAATCCATTAAATAATTTAGATACTAAAGACAGAGATAACCCGGTTGTGTTACTAGAATACTGGAGAGAACCCCTCCAGATTATTAAGGCGCATGTAGGTTGTACCGATGCCACAATCTAAATCTGGCTGCGCTGCAGCTCTTGCTGGATTTACCACCTGTTTTTAGCTTAATATAATGTAGGGCTGTCCTGCTGTTTTTCCGGCCTACATGATCCATAATCTCATGCAAGGAGACCCCAGCAAGAGCTAACGAAATCCCCGCACCTCTCCGAAAACCATGAAGGGTAAAACGATCACTGGTTACAGAGGGCCTCAATGGGGTGGTGGCATTTACGGTTATCGGCTAAAATTTTGGCTCTTTTACGGCTATCGGCTAATTTTTTTCAGTTACGGTTAACAAAAAAGTTAAAAATTAACTTGTTTTGTTTCAAAAAGTTAAATATTAATTAACCTGTATTTTTTGTATCTTTAAAGCAAAATAAAGGTCTTAAGATCATCTCAGTATGAAATAAGCTATTCTTTTGAAAAATTTTAGCATTCGATAGACCATACTTTTTATAAAGTATTCCACTTCTAATATTATTTTACTCATAAAAATGTCAATAGTCAATTTAAAAATAATCTTTGTGAAAAAGCAAAGCACACACGCGAACGCCTAACTCAAGGCCGGGCGCGACATTCATTACAACAGAAATGGCCGTTTTCACACTAAAGACGGATTATTCGTGTGAGACGGGTTATCCGTTTGATGATTCGCGTCAGATAGGTAATACGTCTTAATTTGAAAATGGAGTAGTTTTAATTTTGCATGAACAATTCGCCTGACTTTATCCTTCAACTTCGACGGACAGTTTGAACACGTGATTATCCGTTCCAGATAGCCTGTGTACAGCCGCCCCTTCCCCTCAGAAAAAAAATCGGAGAGGGGGTGTCTGTCGGGAAGGGGGCGACTGTACACAGGCTAGCCTCAGACGGATAATCCGTTTCTAGCTCTAGTGTGAAAACGGCCAATAACATAAATCCCGTGTCCAGTGTTTACAATGGTAGCGAAGGACTGTACGGAACCACTGTCAGCCGTTTTGCCTTGTCCGTAGGCCTTATTATTTCGGGCGGCTAATACGTTTCGGGTCACGTGGTCCGAGCGAGTTCGCCACCGAAATGCCTTGACCGAAATTGCGTGGGAAGACGCCGTACAGGGACTAGGCATGGCAATGTCTACCGTAGCGTCAGAGAAAAACAGGGAAATATTGTTTTTCGGCAACTTGTTTTACAAACAGTGAGATCTCTTCGTGTTGTTTCACTATTGTTTCGAGGGCACGACCTCCTGAAAATCGCAAATATTAATCCCCAGCAAGAAGCCACACTTTCGCTATGGAAATAAAAATAAGTTTCCCGAGAAAGCGGCCGACATGGAAATGGGTCTTGGTCTTCACCTAAAAGGCGATTTACCTAACGTGCGTAAGGAGCCAGACTAGCCGGGAAATAAAAAACGCAACCATAAGTGAGTTTAGTACCTGAGCAAATCTAGGGAACAATTTCTTTTACGGTTAACTTTTTTTTTTACCCTATTTACGGCTAACGGTTAAAATTTTTCAATTTTTACGGCTATCGACTAAATTTTTGGCCGTTTTACGCCTATCGGTTAACCCCATTGAGACCCTCGTTACATGTAATTTATCTCGCACAAATTCTGCATTTGTATACTCATTTAATCTAGCCTAGGCTGCCTGTGGCTCTAGAGCCTTAAAATAAATTTTCCCCCTTTTTTACAGAGCGAAAGAGATACCCTGGCTGTAATCTATTCTGAGGAGCCTACAAATATTGAAATACAATTCCAGACTTTTAACGGGGCATACAACTGCGTTTTCACCCCTTCTAAGGCCACCCCCCCTTTCTTTTTCGTTTGGCGTCTAATGTGTTTCCTGATGTTGGATCGGTCGGTCGGATTGAAAAAAAAAAAAAGAAAAATCACAGTGAGTCTCGGAATAGGAAGCCCTGGTACCCTAATATACTGCAAAAAATGTTCCTCTTTTAGTTCCTGTTTTTCCGCTCTATGCTGTTACCATGCTCATTTTTCAGATTAAAAGAATTATTTCAAGTGAAAAAAATTCGTTTGGCGTCGAATGTGTTTCCTGATGTTGGATCGGTCGGTCGGATTGAAAAAAAAAAAAAAACATCACAGTGAGTCTCGGAATAGGAGGCCCTGGTACCCTAATATACTGCAAAAAATGTTTCTCTTTTAGTTCCTGTTTTTCCGCTCTATGCTGTTACCATGCTCATTTTTCAGATTAAAAGAATTATTTCAAGTGAAAAATTGTTTAGCTACGTCGTTACTTTTTTCTTTTTAATTTTTGAAAATGCCAAAAATTTGGGTCGATCAGACGACGCTAAACGGAGAAGAAAAAGAGGATGGCCTAAAAGCAATAACATTAGCGTCGCACGATCATAAGGATTTAGTCCAAATATGGTTGATCAAAAATCCTGATTTGTCTGGAAAGAGCAGGATATCAACCGCCAACCTCGTCCCCAGGGCTTTCCCTTAAAAAATGGTTGGGGGAAAAGCCCTGGGGACAAGGTTGATCAACCGCTTTCAAGCCTAACAAATCAACAGCCCGATCTGCTGCGAAAAACAGGGACTTCAAGACAGCTTGATCCCTCGCGAGGATATAAATCTTAGGTGGCTAGCTATATATTTCACACGCAGCCCAAACTCTGTGGGAGTTTGTTGGACTTTGAATTTGTAAGAGAAAAAAGAAAATAAACAAAATACGTCTTAAATTCCAGTTTTGGACAAAAATAGAAATTAAAATCACTTACCTTGTGTTTGTGTTTTGTTATTTACTGTCTCTTCGCCTCTAGAGCCATTTGAAAGCCGTTTTATCAACGTTTAAGATTTTGAGTTGTATTAACAGTAAGAAAAAAAACTGTTAGTACAACTCAAAATCTTAAACGTCGAGAAAACGGCTTCCAAATGGCTCTAGAGGCGAGGAGACAGTAAATAACAAAACACAAACTCATGGTAAGTGATTTTTATTTCTATGTTTGTCCAAAATTTAGGACGTATTTTGTCTATTTTCATACATTCTCCTATAAATTCAAAGTCCAACGAACTCCCACAGAGTTTGGGCTGCCTGTGGCTATTTGGACACTCTTGAATCCGCGCATGAATGAATTCTGATATCGTAACTAAGTCGCCAACAAGAAAAGGCTCTGCCTGGTGCGGAACCACCCTTGCGTTCAACTGTTCCTCTCTAACTTTTGCCAGATACTGTTTTACTGAGCGATCCACAGCCGGGTTACCAATCCCCATGAAAGGCTGCCATTCAGTACCTCTCCCATTTCCTACAAAAATTGATCTCAATTTGCCTATAATAAATTAGAGAGTCTACTGCTCCATGAGCAAGACGTAAAGGGCACTGGGCGCCTGCCTCTGGCAGTCCGGTTGATGGACGCGTGTTCGTCCCCCACGATCTTTCCATACAAGGAATGCAACCACGTCTGTCGGCAAAGCTGTAGTGATAGATTTAGGCGGCGACAGACTGAACAAGAAATTGGACAGCTCTTGCTCGAGAGCGCTTTTTTGTCTGACATAGCGCGATGACTGGTGCTGTCGAGAAAGTTGCTCTAAGCGTTCAGAGATGGCACTCATTATCTTGAGCTAATCGAGCAAGGGACTGAAGAGAGTACACCCTTTCATACTCGGCTAAAACAGCAAATATAATCACAGGTAGCCCAAGCTCGAAATATGAGTTTCGGCGAGCATCGGCATTGTTGCGTAACATTCAAAATATAAGACTTTGTACCGGAAAAAAACCTAGGGTTTCTCTAACCTACGAAAATGAAAGAATTTCAATAAAAAACAGCTTATCTCACTTAAAATGTGTGTTACGTCTCTCCTGTGTGGTCCACGGGCCGATTTATGGCCGTTTTATGGGTTTTTATGTGAACGGTTTTCTCTCTATATAAAGGTTTATATTCGAGTTATAGAGAGAAAACCGTTCACATAATAACCTATACACACAGGAGAGAAGTAACACACATTTTAAGTAAGGTAAGCTGTTTTTATTGAAATCCTTTCATTTTCGTTGGTTAGAGAAACGATAGGTTTTTTTCCCATACAAATCCCTATATTTCAGAATGTTACGCAACAATGCCGATGCTCGCCGATGCTCATATTTCGAGCTTGGGCTACCTGTGATATAGTTTGCTTGTGTAGGTTCAAAGTTAGTGAAGGGAACGGAGCGTCTCTCCGTAAAGACGTGAAGAATAAAAAACTTGACTGAAATGACGCTCCAACGCTGTAAGGATGTCAAGGAACGACGCAGAAACATCATTTCATAAGGTAAAAAAATGACCTTTAATGAACGTTTTCATTGTTTTTGTGTGGCTATATGGCCGGTAACCGGTCAAGGTGTTAAAAACAGTAAATGACCGGCAGTCCTATATTCCCTAAATTTCACAAAATCGAAAGACTCTAGCTAATCTAAACTACCATATGTCGATTAAGACAAGTCAAGCGATCCTGAAATGCTTTATAGATCTCAAGTCTAGTGTTTAGTTTACGCTGGGCTCAGAAGACGAAACCGTGTTTTGTGACACTTGGAACTTTTTTCAGCTAGACTGCCGGTCAAGGTTTTCAAAACCCCAAATGGCCGGCAGTCCTCTATTCTCAGTAAATTTCACAAAATCGAAAGATTCTAGCTAATCTAAACTATCATATGTCGATTAAGACAGGTCAAGCGATCCTGAAATGCTTTATAGATCTCAAGTCTAGTGTTTGTTTTACGCTGGGCTCAGAAGACGAAACCGTGTTTTGTGACACTTAGAACTTTTTTCAGCTCGACTGCCGGTCAAGGTTTTCAAAACACTAAATGGCCGGCAGTCCCATATTCTCAGTAAATTTCACAAATCGAAAAAATTCAGCCGTTCTGAACTATCATAAGTCGTGACCCTGATCAAACCAGCCGGTTTTGTGGGATTTCTATATCATGTTTTTGTTCTCGTATCCCATGTATAATTTCAATCCCAATCCTGAATCCTGACCCTACTGGGGATCGGACCCTTAACATTACAAGTACATTGTGTACCACAATAACCAGTTGGGAGGGGTTAAGAGGGGCGGGAGGGGGTTGGTGGGCGGTTTGTATTGCCATATATTGTCTCCTTCTGCTGTCAAGGTCAATCTTCCAAGAATTGATAGATACAATCATGATTGGCCAAGCAGCAGAAATGAACATTGATGTTCTCGGCTAAGCAGGCAGGGAAGAAAGATCCTCTAACGTCGGCTGCATGGGTAGCCTGATTCTCAGAAGTTCAAGGTCATTTGTGGCCCCCTACATGGGTAGACCATTTTTCGTAACCCCCTATTCATGTCATTTTGCATACAAAAAAACAGACATTGCCAATGCTTACCTCCTCAATGTTTAAGGCATCATTTCCAGAAAGAAATCCTGTTCAAAATGTTGCCTGTGAGCAAGCTCTCCGGGGCGCCCTGGCGATGGGGCGTGAAAAGGAAAGAGAACCTGCTACTACGTCTCTGGAATTTGAATGTTGAGAAAGTCAATGTGGAGTGCTGTTGATTAGTGGAGATGACATTAGTAATGATGTCATTACCCTTGGCACATTTCAAATTATGTTTTTTTTTACATTTGCACTCATTTCCACTTTACACTTATTGGCCGAAATCTGACAGCTCAGTCAACAGGGAGCCACTGGGGAATTCAAATTTCAGAGACATAGTTGCAAGCTCTCCTACCATTTCCTGCCCTGCTGACAGTGGGGCCCGGAGAGCTAGCTTGCATGATATAATTAATAGTTTTTATTGTGTTAAATCTTCTAGTTTGGTCAAACCAACATTGAAAATAAGTTTTGCTGCTTGGTTGATTGCAAGTGAATCATCCAGATGGCCCATAAAGAAGGTAATGCAGATTTATCCAAAGAATCCAAGCATCCCTCTGAATTTCAGACTCATGTTCAACATTTAACAGAGGAAAAATCTGGACTTTGTTGTCAACTACTATCTGGAAGCAACTACAAAGAAATAAAAGAACTGTTTGCACTAGCTTGGCCAACAGTGTTCTCTTACTTCTTCTATCACATGGTTAATATGATTAGCTTGTTTTTTGCCGGACGTGTTGGTGAAGTCGAATTAGCTGCAGCAACTTTAGGTTTATCTTTTATCGGTGTGACAGGACCTTCACTTTTTATTGGTTTAAGTTCTGCAGTGGAGACACTTTGTTCTCAAGCATTTGGAGCAAAGAATTATCACTTTGTTGGTGTAGTGCTGCAAAGAGGAGTTTGGATTTTAGGATTAACTTGTATCTTAGCCTGGTCACTATGGGTTAATACTGAGTTGCTTTTGTTGCTGATTCAACAAGAAGAGACTATTGCAAGGTTAGTTTGTACTCAGGTAACACTTACCATGTTATGTGATGGAATCCCTGTTTAATTAACAGACAAAGAAGCCTTGACTGTGCCCTGTATTCTGTTGTAACGCACAGAGGAAGTGACTAGAACATGAAAGTACTGTAGGGGGAGACACAAGACGTTATTTGAGTATTTCTCCCTACTTCTTGAGTGCTCTAGCCACATCCAGTGAGTGTTTACAACAGAATGGATAGCTTGCAAGCAAGATCTCCTCGGGTTCCCTGGGGTAAGGGTTAAAAGGGAAAGGAAAGCTTGCACTCACATCTCATAAATTTGAATATCTGCATCCCAGAATGGGACATGATATTTAATCAGGCGACGATGTAATGCTCCCCTGGGAGAGCTTGGTTGCAGGCTATTAGGCTTAATTAAGACACCTTAATTTTCTTCATTAAAGTGAAACCTTTGGCAAACAAACTGTGGCAATAACAAAACAGTTTAAAGACTGTTAAGCTTATTCAAAGCTATTACCAAGGGAGGAACTACGCGCTCCAGTCAAAAGCCTCACACTATCTTTAGAAAAACACTAAGCTGGAGTTTACTGAGTCACAATTCAATTCTCCATAGTAAGTTTATGTAGCTTCAGTTTAAGCTGCATTTCACTCTTATAATTTTGGATCTGTAAGTCACTATCCGTGATAATTTAACACTCTGCAAAGAAAACCGACAAGCTGGGCCCAGCGTGATACAGCATTGCAGAAAAACATTACACTCACGGACTAAAGAAAATCGCTTAGATCAGATCCAGAAGGCACTTTGGAGAAAATTGGAACCCTTATTCAGCCGTAATAAAAAAAGCTTTATGCTTCAAAAGAGGTCAAAGAATATGCGCTTGCATCACAGGGCAAATCCTGCCGACCAGAAAACAATAACTACAGTCAATCGATATATATGTCATGACCTCTCAGTGTGAAACATGCGGCTAAAACCACATTTGCTCAGTAAAATGCAGAACCTTCCAGAGCATAATCTACCCAGCAGATAAAAACAACTTCATTGGAATAAGCAGCATTTTGGCATGAGGTAAAAGTCGTGTAGGCCTACCACCCCCTTTTATTGCTACAAGAGCAGATCATCAAGAGTAAAGGTTATGAGAATTACTAAATTGATTACCAAGGGGAGAATGCTTTGATCTTAAACCAAATTCTCTCAACTATTCTTCAAAGAAATGTATGGAGATCAGTCTGGAGAATTTGTATTTGGATATTAGGGCTTAAAGGGTTAACAGGAATAAAAGGATGTGTAAAAAGTACACAACAGATATTGTTATATTCCTAGAATTTCACTCTACTAAACAGGGACTGTCATTGGTTGATTCTTGGTCACGTGGCCTTGACTAAAATCAAATGTATCCCGATCGTGATACATTAAACAATGTATCCCCGCTCGGGATACATTGCAGCACGTGATCAAAGCATGGTGGAAAGTGGCGTGACAGAAGGCGGGAAAAACACCGCCAGGTCCTGCCGGTTTTCTTTTTCGTGATTGAACACAACAACACAATCACGAAGCCTCAAGCTAAAAGCAACGATTTTTAAAGTTATCCCAGAAGTTCCCAGAAGAAAAACAGCAGCTAGTGGAGGAAAAAGATGCAGATGATATAAGGAAAGTACTTTTGTTTGTAAATCATTCATTCAGTGGTTTTGAGAATTAAATTTGTGTTGTTATAAGTACCGAGTCGACTGTTTTGGTTCGTTTTCGTTCGCTCCGGTTATTCTTTTGTTGCTGTTGAAGTGAAAGTTCTAGAAATATAACAAAACACTTAATGTCAGATCCCTCGGGAAACCAGTTAGTTTTGTTTTCCCTCGAGTCCTGATGTTTCCCTCGACTTCGTCTCGGGAAACATCAGGACCCTCGGGAAAACAAAACTAACTGTTTCCCTTGGGATCTGACATTAAGTGTATAATAAAGGAGATCTGTAATAAGTAATGGAAACAGGACTGAGTGGAGTCTAATTCAGTCGGTAATCATACATGCAAGTGATTAAACAGAATTGCGTTCATCCAATTTCTTTGCACGAGTAACTGTATGACTATAGACCCAACTGGACTACATAAGGTTCTGTTACCAATTAATCATAACTATAACAAAATTTAAGATGTGATGTTGAGATTTTATTTGAACTTTTGTATAAAGCACAGGATCTTTAAAGAATTTTGTTACTGTTATGATACCTTATATCATGTACAGTAATTTTATAGTCGGAACAATATCAGTAACCTGCATATACAAACTATACAACATTCATGTAAAGCATTAACAAGAAAAGCAGCACATACAACAAGGAATCATTTCGTTACTACCGTTTTAATACAATAATCAGAGGAAGGATACAAAAATACAGACAATCTTTTATTTGCAACTGCCCCATGTATTTCAGAATAGCTTAGGAGACTAAAATTAAGGTACATATTTTTAATAGAACTATTCACTTTAACATTGGACCTGTACGAAAGTTATCACTTTAAAATAATTTGCATAGAAGCAGCACCACTCAGCAGAAAAGCATTTTGGCCGCCTATCATAACGAAACTTTGTACATACTGCTTTGTAGTCACGACCTAACTTGCATGCATTCGATTCGTGCATTCATTAAAGCTTAAATCGAAGAAAGCAAGGAAATTGTGTAGTGTAATTAAAATGACAAAAAATAAAGCCGTTAATACTCACTTTAACGTACTTTTTTTCTTCCATTCGGCAGTGAGCTCGATCTGCTTCCGCTTTATTACAGTAAGAAATATTCGATAAACGGAGACTGAGTTAACTTGTGAACTCAAGGCGATGTAGGAAGCAGTTTGTTTTTTACTCGGACCTCAGTTCAGATTTTATGCTTGTCCCTCACATGTCCGTTAATTTAACCGGTGAAAAATACAGCATGATGGCACACAAAGATCTGAAAGATCTAGAGCGATCCGAACGTTCAGAAACCAAGATGGCCGCACTCGGACGGGACGATAAAAGACTGGATCCTAGCACCCGTGTTTTGACGGTTTTGGAACCGGTTTTGGCGCGAATTTCTGAACGCGGCTGCCAAACTCTCGATCTTCATACAAAGAAAGAGATGACGTGTTTAGCTAAACAGATCAGGGCCGAGTTGTTCAAAGCTGGGTTAAGATGGTTAAGATAACCCAGGGTTAGTGCGAAATTTGAATTAAGATTTGAAAGCTTAAAAAGCATTTCAGCTTTAATTTTTTTTGTTTACAAGTTGATGATTGGAAGCTCTAAAAATAGCACAGAAACTTATCCGAGAAAATGCTTTTGAACACAAGAAAAAGAAACCCGGGTTAATTTTAACGCCGGGTTAAGCTTCTGCTTGGGTTAAGCGCTAATCGTCCTTCGAACAACTCGGCCCAGTGCAGTGCAAGAACAGAGCAAGACTTATTTTTCCGTAAAAGGATTTGTAATCCTTTTCTTCGATGAAGTTTTCATTTTAATAACTGAAAGACTTGCTGGAAAGGTAAGTACTTTCCTTTCCTTTTGATAAATTAGGTTTTCCTTCCATATCTTTTTACCCTTTTGCAGAAAGATGTTGATATTTGCGAGGTTAATATTCAGAAACGGTGATTGGCGAACTACACTTTAGCTTCTTTTAATTTGCCTCTTACATGAGCTGCCCTCATGGTATTAAAACTTAATCCTTAAACCCCTTTCCAGCTAATTGTAACTTTTCTTTTCTTTTTTAGCTTTTTTAAAATTTTTGCAGAACTATATAGCTACTTTTTTTCTGTCACCTGCCTGACTATCAAAATTACTTAACTAATGAAGTTAAATACTTTTTTTTTATGATCAGTACTAAAGACTTCTGTGAAAATGTCTGTGCCTAGATGGCCAAGCTGAACCCAGCCCTCAGTATATAGCATTCATTCCAGTTCATCTGACAAAAAGTTTGTGGTTATTTGAAGACTACAGATGTGAGTATCTCTACATTTTTGCGAAGACCATCATCAATCAGGATCTGATTGATTTTGTCTAGTTTCATATGAGGCCTGAAGTAATACAGTAACCTTATCAGTCCATGAATCTTTAATATACCACAGATATCAGCCCTTGCATGATATGTAATAAATATTCTATGGTGTGTTCAATTACTTGTTTTTGTTTAGCTAATTACTATCTTTTGAGACACCAAGGTGACCACTAGCTGTGTTAATAAATCAAAGTTTGATAATGGATGCCAAGTCGATAATAAAAAATTATTAAACCGTACACAAAGTAATTGAGCACTGTCTTTTGGATTGGAATATAGAAACAACATTAAAATGACCTTAAAGGCTTTTGTGAAGACAATCCAAAAACACCTTTTGTATAATTTATTATAGCATAAGTAGAAAAGAGAATGGCCATTTCTATTATTTGTTCATTATAATGAAATAATTATATAATTTATACTCAACGTTTTTAAAATGTACTCTTATATAGAAATCACAAATTCAGGTACAGATCAAGGCTAATCATATACAACAAGTATATACTTTGTGTAATTTTTGTATACAATTATTATGTTGATTTAGCAGATTGCAGTCAATGTTTTGTATATAAATGTATATCACATTGAATCCAAAACAATTGTGGTGCAAACAACATACTTTTTGACTTGTATACTTTTTGTATAGAATTCTGTTCCAAATTAATGTAGGCAACATTGATGCTATACAAAAAGTATATAAATGTATACAAAATGTATAGATCACAAAGCACACTCAGGCACTTCATGTACTCTACAAAAAGTGCGCAAAAATGTGTACTTTTTGTATACACTTTAGTTCAAAATGTGTACTACAAAATGTATACTTCATAAATGAACACAAAAAGTATATAAATGTATACAAAATGTATAGATCACAAAGTGCGCTCAGGCAACTCATGTACTATACAAAAAGTGTACAAAAATGTGTACTTTTTGTATACACTTTAGTTCCAAATGTTTTCTATAAAATGAATACTTCATAAATGTAAACAAGGTATACAATGTGATGTATACTTCAATGTTTGAATTTGTATACATTTTGTGTGATACATTTTTTTTGCATCAGACAAATTCAGCTTGGCGACAAAATTTATCTAGTTCTTCTGGGCATCTTCATTTCAAAACACTTTCAGAAGAACAATATCCTGAATTCAAGGTATGCTACAAAGCTTACAAAATAAAATCTAGTTTTCTCAATGCCAAGGGCTGAAGCAGACTTTAGTGGTGGTTTACCACTTTTTGAATGTTCGTCTTTTGGTCTGGCCCCCTCAAAGACCTGCCTGCAAAAACAAGAACTCAACAATTTTCTGGTGTTTCATCTTCTCGCTGCAGCCATACTTTCAGGGCTTTGTTCAATCATGCAAAATTTATCTGTCATGTGCTTTATGTACATTTGACGCTCATTTCTGCTCCGTGCTGAGTGGCCAAAACTGACAGCCCTGTCAATGAGGGGAGGGAGCACTGTATGTCACATAGAATTCCAATTCCTGAGACGTGACTGCAAGCTCTCCTTCCTCTTCACCCTGCTGCTATGAGAATGCCTTGGGAGAGTTTGTTTGCAGGCTACAGAGTGGAACACAGTCAAGTCTTTATTTGTTTCACACACATGTTTCATGACTAAGAATTCCCTCAATAAATTCGCCACACATGACTTTCTAATAATTATTATTTCCACAACAAACTATATTTTCAAAGTGAACGAGAGTGTCATCAACATGTTTTACACTCTCATACACGTAAAGTACACTAAATAAGCTGCAATCAGATTCCTTTTTAGAATGGGCCAAATGATTTGATTGGTTGTTTAAGACAAAAGCTATCAAAGCATTAAAAGCTATCGTAAAGTGAAACGAGTGAAAAATGCTGTGAATTTGAATGCGGCAGAAAAAATAAAAAATCAGTTTCTAACTTGGTAAAATGTTCAGTTAAATCTGCCCAAATTGACGTGGCCCATGAAAACCTGGAAATTATTAAGAAGACAATTTGAAAACATACTGTATAAATTAATATACATATTATATCATATAACTGGTGGCAGATGATGTGACAGCTTTTGCTGTGTGTTTTGTACTTTAATAAAGCACGCTTTTTCAACCAATCAGAGTGCACATGAACTTTAATTTAATATTTGTTTTAACTTTTAGGTTGACACAAGACTTTATCCTCATATGTATACCTGCTCTAATAGTAAGTACATTAACAACAATTATTGCATTCGCAAAACTTCTAGTATAACTAACTGTCGCACTTTTTTTATAATAATATTATTATTCAGGGTTGTCACTAAGGGCCGGGGGCCGGGGATTTCCCCCGGCTACTCAGAGCATGGCCCCCGGCTACTTTCGTCATTAAATTAAACCAAAAGAGCTCACCTTTGAAGCACACAAAGACTATCCATCAAACTAAATGAAAGTTTCATCTGCAGTAGGTTCAAGTAATTTTGAAATACTCGCGTGCAAAAACTAAGAAATGTCGGAAAAAGACATCTGCCTTAGATTTGGTACTAGTACACACGCGCGAAAACTCTCCTTTCGCGAAATGTCAGTAGGGAGTTTTAGCAACGACGACGGCGACGGCAACGAGAACGTCAAAAAAGCAATTGGTTTATTGAGCAAAACAACAATTTTGCACGTGCATCACGCTTTTTTGTACATTTCTTTGCCGTTACTGCACGACTGCGACGTGAAAATGCCTAGTTTCACGTTTTATGGAGGACGTAAACAATCGAAGACAAACTTTTCTTTCTCTTTCTAAACTTGAGTGCGGTCCCAAAGAAATCAACTCCAGGGAAATTGGCCTACATTAGCTATTTTCAGCGAACTGAAATAAACGAGACAAAGTTGGAAAAAACGCCAGTTCATTTTAAAAGCGACGTTTTCGCTGCCGTCACCTTTGTCGATGCTAAAAGTCCCTAGTTGTGTCAGCTTTGTGTTGAACATGTCGAAGAAGTGGCAAAGGAATCTGCACTCTTTGTTCACTATGAAAGACCTGAGCAGATCTCTGTTGACATCACAGAAGAAGTTGAGGCTTCATCCGAGCGTTAAATCTCCCTGATGCTGATGTTGATGATAATGAGGATTATGATGAAGGCTTTGAAGATGAACACTATGACTGATTGCTATGTTTAATAAATTGACGTTTAAGTGACCAGGTCTATATGTAGCTTTGTGAGGTATCGAGTATATAGAGAATACTTCATGGAAAGTGCTGGCGTACGGTAATTACGCACGAGTTGTTGACGTATCAGAAATCGAACGAGTGAGCGCAGCGAACGAGTAAGATTGCTGATACAAAAACAACGAGTGCGTAAATACGTACAAAGCACTTTCCATGTGGTATTTTGTTTATTATATACATAATGAGAAACTCATCATTTTGGCGGCCTTTTTATTTTAAATCTTTGAAAAATGCTAAAATTTGCCGCTACACACTTACCGCAAAATGACAACGAAAACGAAGTATCAGCTTTTTTATTAATTAGTAAAAACGTTTGTTAAAAACATAAATGACGGTAAGGATATGAGGTAATCCAAGAACTATAAGTAATCTTAACTGTTTGTTCTCAATGCACAATTGAAAATGAGTGAAATTAAGTAAAATGGCCGGTTTCAATATAAGCTTAAGCTTAAACGAACAGCAAAGTAGCTCCGACAAAAAGCACAACAAAAGCTTACGTCTCCTTCTGTTTTTCCCTTTCCGCTGTTGTTTCGCCGGTTCTCTAGCGTTTTCTTTATCGACAGTGAAACAAACAAAACTATTCCACTCCATTTCCGAAATGTTTTTCACTTTTTTTAGCGAGAAAAACTCTTCGAGTAAAACTTTTCTCGTTGAATGTGTGCGAAGCGGCGCTGCCAGCTTTAAGAAAAGGTGGGAATCTTGGCGCGAAACTCACACACTTCTGTGGCTTCTGATTGGACGTATCATTTTTCTCACACGTGAAAAAAGATCGTTCGCGATTCTGATGGGACGTATCATTTTTTTCACGTGTGAAAACCATCGTTCGCTCCTCTGATTGGCTAGAACTAATTTGCGTACGAAAATTTACGACATAGCTTTTTGGTGAGTATTTCTCAGTACGTATATAATAAATAAAACAACGCACGGTCAACGGGAAATGTTAGATCATTGTCTGCAGGTCATGATCACATCCTCTCAGTTCTACTTCCAAGAAGTTATATTTAAAAGGGAAGTTAAGCATTAGCATTACTTTGGCATTCTTCTTCCTAAGTGTCGTTTCGACATCTCAGCGTCGTTTATAAAGTATTAGCCCTCTCTTTTAAATGCTTTTCCGTATGTCAGTTTCTTCGTATGTTAAGTGATGTTTCGTTCCTAAATTCGAGACCACTAATGTTACCAGTTGTGCAGTTTAGTTTTGCCATATTTTATCCCGCGATTTTTCGTACGTTACGCTTGTTTTAGCGTTATCATACTTTTATTTTTCAACAAACCATAGTAACCTTGTGTTTGTGATGCTTTTTCGTACATTCATCGTCCGCTTGTCGTCTTTCCGCTTGTCCGTGAGTTAATTCATTTGTAATATTAGTTAAACTTTTGTTTTCTGTGACTTGTTTCGTTCTTACGTATAACTAAATGAGGATTTACAATTGATTTTAAAACGCATGTTAATTCATTTGCACCATGTAAGAATCGATTGTCCTTTCCACATTTTTAACATTTTTTAAGTATCGTTGTGATTTAACACTTCACTGGCCAGCATGCGCCTTGTCTGCGTGAAGATAAGACTGCGCGGATAACGTGACCGGTGCCTACCTGTCATCTATTTCAGACCCGGTGCTTACATGTATACTCCCATTTGGCGGCCACTAAAAAAACTCTCCAACGAGCCTTTACGTAAAGTAAAAACTTATTATTTTAGGGTCTCCGAATGATGTTGTTTTCTTTAATAAAGACGTGATCATCATAAAACCGCTAATGATAGCTGTACTCTTGATGAAGATTGCCTTTTTGGGGCGGTAATGCGTTTTAGAGAACGGTAGAAGTTGCGCTGCAAAAACGTCTTGTAGGGGGGGAGGGGGGTCTCTAGGACTGGTATTAATAACATTGTCAAATTTGACCTTCTACACTGTATGCTCTTTGTCAGCTTGACAGTCAGCTTTGGTTTCACATCAAAGCTAATTTATTTTCAAATATGTCTTTGCCTTGTGAAAAGGTACCTCTTAGAAATATCAAATGTAACTCCCTCATAAATTTGCACAACAGACTGTCAGTAGCACTTTAGTTTGCCTTTGCCTTATAAACTTTGCGTACAATGAAAAAAACCTTTTTTCATTGTTTCTCATAACGTTTAAGCCGTAATAACGGTTTTTGTTTTGTTTTCTTTTAACAGGGAAATTTTTTATTCATCTTGTTACAAAGATATCTTCAGACACAGGTGTGTTGAAAGCTAAGTACATGTATGTAAAGGGAATTTTAATCATGTATATGTTACACTGGTCAAATATGATTAAGCTAGATTCTCAATATTTCTTTTACCTCCTAGTCCTAATTCATGAATAATTAGGGCTAGGATACAAGGGAAGTTTAGAAACAACCTAACAAAAAAATTGCAAACATTAAAATGCTGCCAAATGCTTTGTCAAAACTGCTTCAATGCTAGAAAACAGAAAACTACAAGCGTGATACATAGCACGCGTGCTTGACCTATATAAGTCCTATTGAGCCGCTATGAACAAAAATCTTTATACGCACACCTGTGTGTAAATAAAGATGTTTTTCGTGATGACGTATTCATCTGTGTTTTTCGTCTCTTTTCCTAAGTACCCAAAAATCGACGGCAGTGATGAAAAACTTTCTAGATTTTTTTGGAATTTAGCTTCTTTTTAGCCACTCAAACTAACAGCAAAAGCGGTGAAGATGTTTCGCAAAAAAAGCTTAATAGAGCCTGAATGATTCGTTAAAGACTGACATTTAAGAGGAAAAAAGACCACAAATTGGTCTGTGTGGGAAAATATCTAATTTGTTTAAAGTGTCCTCCGTTTTTAACGTTTGTTTATCCTTTACAAAACAAGTTAATTATAAAGTAATCTCAATGGTGAAAAATTATGCACTTTTGTTATCGCCGAACAATTCGACTGAAGCAGGAAACTTTATCTTGCAATAACAAGACAAATTGCACAAGAAGACATCAATTTATTACTCACAAAAACAACTGCAGCTGCCAGGTCTTCTCAAGAAGCTGTAATGATCAGCCATTGTTCGTAAATGAATATAAGTTTAAAGTAGGATGACAGTCGTCTTTCCTAAAAAACAAGTTTTCTGGATTTTACCGAGAAAAACATAAACATCGTTTCAGCAAATCCAAACCATACTCCATGACTTCTTAAGAACATGTGAGTATTTTAACTTTAGGTGAACTTTAAGACCCTTTACCTTTGTTTTTGCTTCGTTTTCATTGATCGTTAACGAATAAATAAGCGAATTTTCTTTCTCAGTTTTACAGAAAGAATTTTCATTCAAACCAGACGATTGTGGCGTGTTCGTAATCGGCCTATAGAAGCGTTTGTTATTGTGTCGCGCGTTACGAGAATTTTGCAGTTTATCAAAAAGCAAACATTTTTGTCAGCTATGTTATAAAAGAATTTACTCATGCTTTTACCTGTGTGTATATCAAGTTATGGATGCACTTGGGAAGTACGGAGAGCACTCAAGAAGCTAGAGTTGCTCTCGGCTGCACCTCTAGTAATTCTTACGCCCCTTTTGTGCTCTCCAAACTTCCCGCGTGCATCCATAACTCTAGATACCCACACTAAGCATTAACAAATTCTAAATTAACCTGAATTTAATTTTGACCTGTAACATATATAAGCAGGCCACTGCTGCACCTCATTAAAACAGCCACATTCTAATGCTCCCTGTAAAGGCTGAATTAAAGGAGATCTACTGAAATTGCTATTTTTGCTTATAGGGTATTGTGAAACCTATACTTTATGTGTGTGTAATTGCTAATGGGATACAAATTGGTCTCAATGTTCTGATGGCAATGGTGCTAAAGCTAGGATTCCGGTAAGTTACATATTCACCAGGAACCTGTAAATACCTTTTTGTATCTGGGGGGGTGGGGCAGGTGGGGTGCCTTATATTCACTAGGTAGGAAATTAGGGAAAGCTTTTCAAAACAAGCTATAAACGTAGCAGTGCTTATCAAAATACTTTTTGAATTTACTCGCATTTTTAAGCATTTCAGGATGTCATAAAAAATCGAATTCGTTTCAATACAATTAAGCCAGAGGAGGCTAATATCCACTGAGGGGGGCTCTTGTCCCAACGGAAACGCTTGCTACGCAGACTACAAATTTAGTTTTTGGGACGTCATCACCGACTTCTCTTTACTTTTGTTGCCCCAGTGTAGGTGCTTTTAACGGGGTTCAACTGTACCACTTTGAGGATAAACCCAACCTAAACCACTCAGGTGAAAGCTTGGTCTATTATGTGGGTAGCCGTAAATAATTAACAATTAATGAATGAGGCTGAGTATCTTAAATAACACCCTCGGAGATCTCCATAATTCTTCATATGATACGAAAGCCGAATTCAATGATTGTTTTATTATTCAGTCAAAATAATTCCTAGTTTAAAAACATGGCTAAAACATGCTTACCTCCATCGATCCATCAATGTTAAGTTCATCTTCGATAGTGCACGTTTAGGTTTGTCCAGCTCCGCAAATATTCTCCAAATAACAGATTTCGCCCTTCGAGTTGTCTTCTTGCTGTTCTTGCCATGTTTTTAGTTATTTTTTCGCCTAGTTCTTACTCTTGAAACGAGTGAAATGTCCACCATTTTTCAAGTTCACAACCAAAACAACTCAACCTTGTCCCCAGGTCTTCTCGGTTAACGGTGCCTTAACCCGTACGAACGCTGCATTTTTGAGCTCATTTTCTCGTTAAACACAAAAGTCCTTCAAATTTGGTCATCAGAAACTGGTTATGGTGAATTATGCGTGTGCTTTTAGCCAATCAGAATCGGGGAAATATTTTGAATGAATAATAATAGGATTTAATGCTTCCACTGTGATGCATTCTGATTCTAGTCAATCACTCAGACATGTGAATCTTCTTTTAATTTGACAGGGGAGTGGCCATTAGCTGGGCTCTGACTGTATGCATCTTAACAAGTTTGCTGTTTGCTTACATGAAGCTCTTTAAGCTCCATATAAAGACTTGGCCAGGTGAATTTGATATCATGCAGTCCTAGTTACTCAAAAGTTTTGACTTGTTTACCAATTAAATAATGATTTGTCCAGTGCTTTTAATGTACAATCTGTGGCTCTAGTACATTATAGAAGATATATTGTGTAGCCGTTCAGTGATACAAAATTTCTCTTTGTGATGAAAAATATTTCACAGTTCAGCACTGTGAACAACTGAGTGACAATTAAAACAAGAGAACATTCTTATCTCCAAGTGGCCGCGCAGTGTGTTCTATATAATAATATGTTTGTGTTACATATTATTATTGCCATTGCATTGTTTCCTTAGACAAGAAACTTTGCTCCATTTTTTCTCTTTTTATCCTTGTTTATGAATGGGTACTGCATGGCAACAAACCCCCTAGGCGAACCCTGTGATAGACTATAACAGGCGTACAGAATGATACTCGCGGAAAAGTTTTGGTCTGATCTTAAAATCTCGGAAGCGTTTTTGATGGGTCTCTTTTTTGGGTGATTTTTGCTACTCAGTCTCGAATTTTTTTGCCGACAGGTCTCGGAGTCTCGGATTTGTCTTTTTATCCTAATTCCGTTTGGTCTTCAGGAGTCGAATTTTTCAGAGTTCATGGGTACAGCTTATAAAATGAATTGAACTAGTAGATTAATACAGTAAAACAAGACAAAGCAGTATACTTGTGCATGGGCTTCCGGTGCGCTTCCACTGGTGCTTTCGGTCATTTTTTTAGCTTTATTTGCACCCTTATCTCATGTTTTTTTGACGCTTAGTCTCGGCTTTGATATTTTAGAAGTAATGTCTTGAGCTCGCTTTTGATAAATGCTTGAGTCTCAGTCTCGAATTTTGCAACCAGGGTCAGGTCTCGCAAAGTCTCAAGTTTACCAGTATACCCCTGGTGAGCATGCTACTAAAAGCTACAAAAACCAGGGATAACTTGCTCAGCCTTGTCACCCCCATTAACCAATTGTGCACTTTTGCTTGCTTTATTATAGTTAGTGCATTCATCAAGTTAATAATTAACTTGCTGCAGACTTTTTTATGATTGTATATCTATTAAAAGAACCTCGATTGTTGGTCTTGTACCATTCAGGTTGGACAACTGAAAGCTTGTTGAACTGGTCACAGTTTTTTAAACTTGCTGTCTCCGGGATGTTCATGACCTGTGTTGAGATTTGGAGCTTTCAAAGTGGAGCATTTTTGACAGGTAATTGGGGTGCCACAGGCAGCCCATTAATGCGATATATGCCTTCTTGTTCATGCGTTACTTACACTTTTTGTGTAGTTTCAGAATATTTGCTAACCTGGTTTTCAAAAATCTAGATAGAAATGTAAATTGAGAAAGATATAGTGATCGACATTATTTGAACATGGGAGAAGACAACGGGTACAGCACCGTAGGTGACAGGATTTGAACCATAGATCTTCCAAACACTGGGCGGAGCTCTTTCGAACCTAGCTGTGGAAAAATGTCATATATGAGGTTCATAAGCGACATGTTTCAAGTGACTCTAAGGATCATGCAGCAATGTTGGAGGCGTACCCTATGGTGATAATTAAAAATAGGTGATATGCTTTAAGCTTGGTAGTGAATGAGAGATTACATGTAACTGTAAGTGTCTGTAGTTTTTTTTTTTTTGTATTAACTAGTGCTCTCGTTGTTTTCTTTCTAAGGGACCCTTGGTGAAGTGCAGTTGGCATCGTTTGGAATTCTTTTTAGTTGGGCAGCCTTTGTATTTATGGTAAGGGTAACTTTTTAAAATCTTACTCTTTTTCATGGATCTAAATATCTATCGCCACTCTATCCAGTAAGGGGTCTTTCGATCCCTCTTTCTGGGCCCAGTTGTTCAACAGTTGCGGGATATCGCAAGGGTTTCCTTAATACTTATCCACTGGATAGTTATTTTTGTTATATATTAATGACATCCGTAAATCTTCCAAGGAATTTACTTTTTATCTATTCGCAGATGATACAAGTCTAACCTATGCAAATGACAACTTAACTTACTCTTGAAATAACTGTGAACAATGAGCTTGAGAAAGTAAGTGAATGGCTTAGCTAACAAACTAACGCTCAACGTTCAAAAAGTCTAATTATGTCATTTTTCGTCCGCGCCAAAAAAGAATACCTTTCATTCCTCAAATTAACATTTTTAATCCAACTTTAAATGCTCGAGTAATTGTAGAGATGAAGGACTTTGTTAAATATTTGGGTATAATGATTGATTCTGAACTATCGTGGAAGCATCATATTGACTTTATCTGTCACAAAATTAGTAGTAGATCGGTTAGAATAATTGTTAAAATGAGGCATTACATTCCGTGGCATCTTCTTTTGAATTTATATCATGCACTTATTGCTCCTTATTTAAATTATGGTATCTGTGCATGGGGCAAGAATCCACAGACCTACCTCAATAAGATACTTGTTGCTATTTGCAGGACATAAAATTGTAAACTTTATGATTCTTTAAATAAATACATTGTCGTTGTTGTTGTCCTCTCTGGCACTGAATTGAAATCTGAGTGTGTCTATTGTAGATACCACTGGGATTGAGTGTTGCTGCTGGGGTTCGTGTTGGAAATTTCCTTGGTGCTGGTAACCCAAAGGCAGTAAAAAAGACGATCAAGGTGGCTCTGGGATTAATAGGTAAACGCGTTTAATACAACTGGGTTTAAAATATTAGACTACAAGAAGTCCCCTCATTTACCTCAGGGATAGTAAAGCGAGCGAAATACGCGAGTGCGGGTGGAAATCGCCATCTGCGAGGAAGGTGAAACGTGAGGGGAAGAGAGATAATTTTCTTTCCTTCCTCCACGTCTGGTCTGTCCTCGCGCGCCGCGATTTTCACTCGCACTCGCGTATATTGTTCACTCATCATCCCTGAGGTAAACGAGGGACTGAAGCTAACTATATATACGCTTTTCCTGTTCTTTGCTTATTTCTCTGTTTTCTTTGTTTCCGCCTCTAGTTTATTAAAGCGAGCTATTAACGCGTTTTGGTCAATAAAAGAGGCTACTCGGAAGAACAGTCCGGAATATCCCTAAATTTAAGGACAGGGCCAACTGGTCACGCGACACTTTTCAACCAATGAGAGGGCGCGCTTGTGTTTATCAACAAACAAATCAAAACATCGCCCCAGTGATCAAAAATTTTCAAAACAACGGACGGAGTCGGACAGAATTAAAGATGAGCTTACAGTACTCGTCTAGGTTTCACATTTAATATTTCAAAGAAAACATTTCATGTAAGAGAATAAGAGCATTAATCATTGCAAGGAACGAATCATTGGGGTGTTCCAACTGATTCCGGACCGATCGCGGAGGTCGTGGCTTCACTGGCATGGCTTGCAAGATTTTTGATAGAAGCAAACTAGTCCCGTGAAAAATAGCCTCAGAGAGAGCGTGAAAATTTGTTGAGATCGTACAAAACAGGATTGGTAGTACCTATTAACTTCTACAGGACAAGAATCAAAGAATCAGTCATTATAACAAGAATAGAAAGTAGTTCAAATTTATTAATTTTTCTTGTTTGTGTTTTGTGTTGTTTCGTGTTGACTTCACGCGTCTGGTGCTTTCTTTGCTTGCTGTAGTACCTGCAATGTTTTAATTTTATCCCAGATAATCAGTGCATGTTCAATGAGTAGCGAAATACATCATTTACAATTGAGATTTGCCTTGTTTCTTTTATTGTTTTTTAACGGTGGATGAACATTTGGAGAATGCAATTCAACATTAAATCTTTCCAGATTAGTGAATTTCAGAAACAAAGCGGTTAGTATCTACGTTGCGCTTATGATCTTCAAATTTCATCCCCGCAAATTCGGCAAAGTGAGGCGAAATGTTGGACGTTAATATCCATAAGACTATTAAAGTTGTTTTGGCCTTGAAAAGAAAAAAGGCAAAGGCTCGTACTAATGCGAAAAAAAGTAATAACACGGCTCTGTGAGAAACCCGGGAGTGGAAAACGTACGTGTTTTGGACCTCGGAATTCAAAAATTGTCTACCAGAATTCTAGGTTGTCTACCATCCCCACATTCAACGTGATAAAAGTTAATCGATAGGACAATCGAGGAAAAATATCTAGAACTTCGTAAAAAATCTGTGAATCGAAAAAATAATAGACACTTGTTCACCTACCTTGAAAACCGACCAAACTCTCGCCTAGGCATCGCGTTGTTTAAAGGATAAAAGAAGAAATAAGCCACAAAATGTGCTGAATATTTTTAAACTTCCAATATGGCTTCCGATACACTGTCCACTTAAAAAAATTGTGTATGCCTCATGAAAAGTGTTTAAAATATCCCTGAGGGCCTCGAAACGATGACTGATTCTGTCTGCCTCCGTCCGTTGTTTTGAAAATTTTTGATCCGCTGGGGCGATGTTTTGATTTGTTTGTTGATAAACACAAGCGCGCATTCTCATTGGTTGAAAAGTGTCGCGTGACCAGTTGGCCCTGTCCTTAAATTTAGGGATATTCCGGACTGAAGAAGAAAATTCAAGTTTTACCAATATTAGTCGAACCTATGACCTTCTGGCCACAGTTATTCAATCAAGGGATAGCGTTATCCACTGGATTAGTCACTATTCAGCGGATAAGTATTAGCAAGAAACCAATTGCGTTATCCGCCTGATAGTGACTTCTCTGGGCCGAGTTGTTCAAAGCTGGGTTAAGATAACCCAGGGTTAGTGCGAGAGTTGAATTCAGATTTGAAAGCTTAAAAAGCATTTCAGTTTTAATTCTTTTTGTCTACAAGTTGATGATTGGAAGCTCTAAAAATAGCACAGAAAATTATCCGAGAAAATGCTTTTGAACACAAGAAAAAAAAACCCGGCTTTTGGTTAAGCGCTAGTCGGCCTTCGAACAACTAGACCCTGGTGAATAGTGCTATTCAACTGTTGAACAACTGGGTTCCGGTTAGTATAGTCTTGATGCTCCACACCTGGAACCTGAACACAGACACAATCGATAGTTACAGTAGGCTCAATCTCCAGCCTTTGGTGTCTCCATGTGCCCTTGGGGAGTACCGAATCCGCATCGAGACACCAAGGCTGAAGACTGTGCCTATGGTTGTAAGAGCTATGGCTATTTAACTAGGTTCATGTACGTGGGACGTACTCACTACCTTACTGCTGAACAACGTTCCTTTGAATTTCCATACGTATTCATTAATTTTTGCTTTGATCTGACAGTTTCTGTAGAACTTATTATACTTACAGTCTTTCTTGGACTTGGAGATATAAGTGGTCGTGTCTTCACCAGCAGTAGGTTTGTAAATACCATATACGCGTTTATTATCTATCTGCATTTTAGTTATCAAACAGGAAACGCAGGAAATGAGTGCAAATTTCCGACGACATTTTGTACAGTTGGTTATTTGTATACAGTAAGAGCAAACCTGTTTTACAGGTCGCCGAGCTCATCAGATTTAAAATCTCCGGTCCCAACAAAAATCAAAATTGGTTGTTTTTTCTAGCATTTACCGCGAGGAGTTTATACTACCGGGTATTTTCCCAACTTTTACCTTGCATTTGAAAACTGGTTTGCCAGTCGCACACTAAGAAAGTGCTGTACGGTAAGAGAAACGAAATGGGTTGACTCCTGCTCAAATTGAGGACTTCATCAAGTAAGAGTAAACTGTAAACAAAAATGGTTCAGCAAGTAAGAAAAGCGAAAAAATTTTATCTGACTTGAATGCCGTCTGAACAAGATGATGTTCCTTTATTGGCGAGGCACGTGTACCATTGAGGTAGTTTTTGTAAGCTTTTTTAAAGGCTTTTTTTAAAATAAGCTCAATGTAATCAAGACGTCCGCGCGCGAGTTTGACCAAACAGTTGTTATGCTCGAGTTCTTTAGCGAAGGTTTTGGCCGCCATTACAAGCTGCAGAGAACTATCAGAATTATTTGGTAGATGTGTTTGTGTTACTAGGAAAAAACCAGTCAGACCAGATGAGAGAGAAATGCGTAGCAAGTGCCAGTTACAATAATTAGTATGTATTTTGGTTGTGTGGCTTGAATCATCAATTTCATTGGTTATTAAACGCTGAAAATTCCTGATAGAATAGGCGACCATTCATTTTGTTTTTTACCTCTGTCCGCGTCTTACAAAAGTGTGTGTTTTTTTAAAAATTTTATACGGAGACATTTTCATTTCTTTCAGTGATGTTTTAGTTGTGTACAAGAGGAACATTCTTATCGTTTCAGTCATGTTTTTCTTTGATGGAATTCAGGTACATGTGACTGTCTGCTTACTTTGAACTGACCAATGTAAGGCTTTGGGTAATAAGTTTACAGAGTTGATTAGCAACTGATTTCTGTGCCACTGTTACTAACAGTACATTGGGCTGATATCCATTTAACCATTTAAGGGGAGAATAGTCCATTTTGCATAGTTTTCCAGACACTCGCTGTAAAGCTTAATGCTAGCCTATTTAAGAAGAAATTTCGATTCATTTTTAGCTCCTACAGCTTGCTGACATAAATTCATGTTGGAACTTTGGGAGAAAAATAAATTTTGGGAAATTTCACCGGGGGTACCCAACGAGAATATAGTTCAAAACCACTTAAACATAGCATTGTTGAACGTATTTTAGTATTTAAACGGTAGATATAGGCATATTTTTATCTCCTAAAATTTTTCATCTGTTCAGATTTCCTAGCTGAAAATCTAGTGATCCGAAAATTAGCTAAAATTATAGGGATCAAAACTTACCTTTTCGAAAATTTCAGCCAGAAAAAAAGCTCCCGAAAACTCTTGGTTACCTTTTTAGGGTAAAAATCGGTTAGAAATGGACAATTATACCATATATGTTAGAAAATCCTAGGAGAGGCAGGCAAGCAAGAAATGTCACAAAAAATGTTCCGAAAATTCTATATCTCAAATCGTCTTCCGAACAGATATTTTCCAAAATTGACGTTGGGTGCCCCTGATGTCACTGTGGTTGCAGAAAATCTGCATGCCCACATTGCCTCAAGAACTTTTCTCCACCATTGTAACTTAATGGACTGATTTTATAGGACAAGTTTGAGTAAGAGTTTGTATTAACGATATGCATTTGCACATGTTTGCATTGGTGACCTTTATTTCAGGGTGTCTGTAGTGGCATTGTACGAGGGGCTGGCCGACAGAGGATAGGAGTACTGATCAATTTTCTATCATTTTTCGTGGCTCTTTCCGTTGGGATCACTTTAATGTTTTTTGTCTTCCATGAAAGCGCAGGTAAAAAAGACATGTTCATGGAATAAACTCGTTGAGTACGGAAACAGAAGCTCTTGACTTCTGATGGGATTTATTATAACTACTGAGGAATTTTGATTAAAGCGTAAATCTAACCAAAACGACAAAGCGATGATACAAAACGGAAAAAAATAAATTTTGATTCTATGTGATTGATGTACGTAATAGTAAAATTGTTGTTTTGGACCTCAAAAAGGGCAGTGCTTCCGTATAAAATGAACAAAAGTATTTTTCGCTCCATGTAAGGGAATCCAAGGCAGTCTTGGATTCCAGAATCCAAGCTGTCGATTCCGGATTCCAGGAACTGCATTCCAGTCTTTGTTAGTGGAATTTGGATTCCGGTTTCCTTGAGCTTTATTCTGGGTTCTAAAGCGCAAGATTCCTGATTCCACCAGCAATAATTTCCCAGATTCCGGAATCCATATTCCCTTACTTGGGGTGAGTATTTTAGTCAAATTCCTGTCCTTGTTGTTGGGGGTCCGGTCGCCGTTCATATTAACGGAATGTCCGCAATAGCGAGCTGTCAGTAGGGTGGGAGTTGACTATTACTTATTTATTTATTATTATTATTATTATTATTATTATTAGTATTAGTATTATTATTATCTCTTTTATCACAGTCTTTGCTGATGTTCTTTTTGTGCATCAGCCGGGTGCAAACCATGCACCTAGAGCGTCAGTCACTCAAGTCAATCATTCTGTTCATACACTGAGCACCTTTCTGAGGATTCGCGCAGATCCCAGCATGCAGATCTTTTGAATCTCTGTCATAGTAGCTCTCTCTGATACGTTCTTGATGTTTTCTACCATTATTATTATTATTATTATTATTGTTAAAGAATTAGGAATTTAGGAATACGAGATTTTAAATTCTTTTTAACTTGTTTTCTTTTTTAATATCAGAGACGGATTGGTAATGACTTACTTTAAAACTCTAGACTGCCTGCAAGAGTTATTGACCGCATCTGAGCCGCAAGAAATGTATTTGTGAAATCGTTATTGACACAGTGATTGCTATTTTTATTATTTATACTATTCTTAATGTTATATAGTGCTTAATTCTTACTCCAAATATTTCTGTAAATTATTTACATAAGTTGAATAAAATTGTTACTTATCCTTAAAAAAAAAATCATTATTATTGTTATTATTATCATTATCATTATCATTATTATTGTATTTTGCATTTTTTCTTGTTGTGTTAAAGGTCTGTGGATTGGTATTTCGACTGGAGTGTTTCTTCAGGTAGGCATGCCTCATGACGACTCCCATTTCACTTCCGTAAAGTTTAGTAAGTGTAAGCAGCTTTTCCCGGCCTATTGCTGCTTTCGAGGTAGACTTGCTACAAGTCGACATACGAGTTTCTTAAAGGTGATGTAACACGAGACGATTCGCAACATTGTTGCGACATTGCTTCGAATGGTCACAACATTGTTCCAGCACTGCAACGTTGTGTTGCACTAAAAATCGTCATGGGAATCGTCTCGTGTAACATCACCTTAACGAGCGGAGCGAGCTGTAGGCCGCGAAACGGCCAAGCGAGGGACTAAGTCGCGAGAGGTCGACCTTCGTCTCGCGCCATATTAATTCGGACGAAGGACTTTGTGAAAGTCCACTTTCAAGTGATCGTTCCTTTTTGGGTGTCCAGCTGAAATGTGTAACGTATTGTGTGTAAAGGCTTGAAAACACACTCAGTGAGCGATGCCTCAAGGACAGACGTCCAGTCGACAAAACTAACATGTCCAAACCTACGACTGTTTCCATGCAGTTTATTTCACTAGAGAAAATTCATTCCTCACACGACTTAGTCCGTAAGGCGAGAGAGTCACATTTGATAGATAAGGCTTTTGACTCTTGAACCTAATGGCCTAAACCCCCGTGACGAATTGTATCTATATCCTTGCAATTTTCTCTCCCTTTTAAACAATTTCTGTTGCGACGTTCTCCATCTAAAAAATATACTGAGTAATAGTTCTATCATAGCTTCACCAACATCTGTAAACCTGAACAGCCTGAAGAAGGCTGGTGTGGCAAGCCGAAATATTGTTTTCAAAAAAAGCAATCATCACGTTGCTACATGCATATCAGCTTTGCAGTAGGCTTTAGACTTGTGGTTTTTTTGCTTTTCATATTTTAGCCGATTAGATCTCTTTTCTAGAGATCCAACGTTGACAACCAGCAGGATCGTCGTCCACGGTTTTTGCTAGTAATTTCTTTAATGTTGTCAGAAAGATTGTTAGCAGTATGATCAAAAATAGAAGTTTGGAATGCATGGCATAGCTCCTTTACTTGTGTACTTGTGCTTAAACTACTGACAAGATTTTATCTCATCTTTCCCTGGTTCATTTCAGGCTTGTTTATATTTATTTCTTCTGTGGAGAACAGATTGGGACAAACAAGCTAAATTAGTAAGTGATGCCTTTTTGCAGGGTATTGAGAAGTCTTAAGCCCAACATCCGTCCTCTAATATTTAACAGTTTTGTAACTTCTTCTTGAGTCTTAACTCAGAAGATTCTGGAGATAGAGAACCAAACTATAATTTGTAGCTGTAGTGTAAAAGGAAATCACATTTAGGACCTGTGTACATGGAGGTGGTTGACCCCAGGTTCGTGAGGAAACCTTCGCAGACGGGATAAAAAAATCACCCGGGTTTACATTCAGTCTTACAACCCCGCCATCTGAGGTGCACTTTCTGAAGATTGTACTGTTGAATGGTCGCTAAGCTCGTAAAAAATGGTAGCGGGCAAACCACGTGTTTTGGCGGTTAATGCTCTTCTACTCTCACCTGTTGCTCTTGCTGCAATCTCTCAGTGCTGTCGCTTTCTATTGTATTTTAATGAAATGCAAAACCTCCGCAAAAGGCAGTTAACAAAACATGTTAACTCGTATCCGTCCTCTGCTACCCCACTTGAAGCGTTTACCTGGCAAAATTTGGCCCTGGCTGATGGCGTTACCTGGTCTGACAGACCGGGCACCTCATCTTGGCGGGTCACCCACCTATCATGTAGACGTGATTATTAAAATAATACGGACAGGTGGGTTACTCCACCCAAGCGGGTTATCTCACGTACCTGGGGTCCCCTACATACCTCCAACATCACTTGGGTCTAAACGTTTAGACCCAAGTCAAATTTAGAGGGATTTGTATGGAGTCATCAGAGCATAACTGGGCTAATATCTCACAGACAATTTGCCCCACAATGCTAGTTTTTTTGCAAGGACGCCTTTTGGATGTTGTTTTAGAATATCCTGGCAAATCCCGTAATTTCACAAATTTAATTTTTTATGACGTCACACTTTAGTACTCTATAAGTTGAAGATTTTATTGTAGACTAGGGAAACCGGGAATTACCATCAAAACTATAAATTAAATCGGCAAGTTTAAATGTACGCAACTCAGCCTAGAAGCTGCTCTAAGATAGGGGGGATCAGGGGAGTTTGGTCTAGTGTAGGGTAGCAAAATTTAGCTGAACTAGCTCTGGTATCCGGGTCGAGATGGTTGTGAAGGTGCATTGTGGGGCTGTTATGGGGGACGCATTTCAACAAGGCGGCAAATTCGTCCCATGGAGAATAAGTTGAAAGAATTTGGTAGAAGATGAAAGCATTTTCTCTTAGGTGATTATTTTATTATTTCTCTCAACCTTTTCTCATGATTGAGTATTGATTTTGTTCGGAGAAAATTGATTTTTGTTTCTTTTGGGAGTTGAAGAGTTATTTAAACTGAACTATTCGTCGTGGGTTTTGTTTGAAATTCATTATTCAGACGACGGTCCTTCTTTTGCAGGCACAGCGAAGAACGGCTGCCAAGACTGTGAGAACTTCAACCTCTGAGGACTTGTTAAATAGAGATCAAGCTGGACACTCCGCCAAAAAACACAAAGGTGCGATGATTAGTCATACTCAAGACGCCATCAGATGTAAGAAGAAGCGGATAAAACTCATGAGAAATTTCCTCTTATGCCTCTGATAACAATCTCATGATTGAAAATGTTGAGGTTGTGGGACCTTTGTAAGATAGTCTCGTAAAAAGTATGTGATGAGGCGTGGTTTTCTTCCCAGAAAGATCTTGGGAAGAACCTTCGTTCTTCTCTTCCTCCGGAGTCACCCCCCGCCCCCACCAATGAGGCATCCCCATAGCTTTCAGTGGATACAATATGTGGATTGTGTACCACTTCGTTTACTTAAAGGTCGTCCATCGTTTCGGTGGAGTGTCTTCCGCTTTTAATGAAACACGAACTTCGCACAAAAAGAGCAGAGACAGTTTATATGTTTTTTTTTTCAGACTTGATTCTTGCAAACTGGATCAGCAAAACCTCGTCACTTCCATTTCTGAATCACATGGATGCCAATAACTCTCAGTTTCGACTTGCTTTACTGTCAAATGATGGGAGCACTTCAGAGAGAGATAGTCGTCAAGAAGAGATTGAATCAGAAGCAACAGCTAATATAAAAAGTAGTCACAGTCTTACCTCAGCACAAAAGAGAGCTCTTATTGTAAAGCGACTTATCCCTCTCGTAATATCTCTGATGATTTTAGGCGGCGCTGTAGCCGCACGGTTTCTAATTCCGTTGCCTTAATAGCACGAGACTTCTCCATTTGGAAGTGATACACTTACTTCAAATACTACTTGTAGCAATTTAACCACTGTTATTAGTTAACATCCGCTTATAATAATCTATGATTGCGGTGTTCAGGCTGATCAATGTGTTATTTACCGGGTGCGTAGTGAGAAAT